CGCAGTCTTTTTAATTAATAAGACTTCTTCACTGGATATTTTAAACAAAAGTATAAAATTGGTATGTAGTGAATGGATTGTGATGTAATGAATGGTGACTGGTGACACACCAAGATGTGATAGGCATAATGTATGATTCTGATTAATAATAATTCTTCATAAATGCCCCTATAGGTGATGTTAGCTCAAGGTCATCCCACTTTTAAAAAAAAAAATGTGTGCAAGTGTAAAAACTGGTACAATATGTACAGTCTTACTCCAGTCTGGGTGCTCTACTGGGGAAATCTTTTATAAATGACTCATTGTAAGAGAAAAGAAATGCATTTATTATTAAAATTTAGTACCAGTAGAATTATATCAATGTAAAATGTACTCTATTACAAGTACCGATCCCCTATTAAAATGATTCAGCAAATAAATTTCCCTTCTAAATGAAGGAGAGTGATGCCTGGATGGAAAGCATTTACCTGACCTCGTATTAAACTGTTGTGCTCTGTTTTAACTCTGAAACGCGCAGTGACAGTGACATAAGCACATCTATGCAGACAGCAACATGTGAACATGGAGAAAATTGTAAATGAAATGACACAGAACCAGTGGATGTCGTTCCAAATAGGTTTCTCAATGAGATCTCTGAAATTCATAACACTATCTCCAACCTGTATGTTATTATTCTGAAATGTTTCTTTGACAGCTTAAAGACGCTTATTGAGGAAAGCTTGAACGTTTTCAGCATGTCGTTCGATAACAGTCACTCATGAGCAGCCCGAGCCTCACAGTCATATGTAGTATTGCATCAAACATACACCGGCAGCCTCCTGATATCAGAGACTTAATAATAATATGAAATTTGAACATAAAAATACAATAAATGATGATAAAGGACTTCCAAATGATTATTTTGGACTACATATGCATGACGTCGTGGTATCAGTCCAATCACAATATTACATTTATTGAATTATGCTGCCCTACTATAAAAACATCAATAAGTATTAACATTATGTGTATCTTTATCCAGATGCCAGTCCTCTTGATCAGTGGGAAGACGGCATAGTGTTACAAAAGGTAGTGAGACTCTTCATTTACAATCATCCCTCCATCACTGAGGCATTTTTCAAAGTCTCTACAATTTTTGTTTTTGCTGTTGTTATTTTCCTCCTAACTTAGTGGATGATCCACTCATTCTGGTCTACATTTCTTGTGTAATTAGCACTACTTATTGCCAGTTTGATGAACAGTGTCATCTGCACTCAGCCACACATTCAGTGCTTTGAGCAACTCTGTATACAGACACTTAGAAGTTTGAGTACAAATGTTCTATTTTACTTCCAAACAGTGTTGATGTTGTGTTTTGTGGGAAAATAAGAAGTAAGAATAGAAAAATCACTGGTCAAAGGTATTATGTTGCATTCACTGCCAGCTTTCGAGCTGTAAATAAGTGTACTGTTTGTCTGCAGGTGCGAGGGATCAGAAGTGATGATTTGAGTGGTGTCTTGCGGAGAGACCAGAATGAGGTAGGCAAACATTTTAAAGCTACTTTAAAGGTTTCTATTCTATTCTATTCTATTCTATGCTATAGGCCAGCGGTCCCCAACCCTCGGGCCTCGGACTGGTACCGGGCCGCGAGAGTTGAGGCTCAGGTGTGAAATGTATGGTTTTCAAGGTTTTTATCGTTTACTCGGTTTTCCTGGGTCTTTTCACGTGTGTTATGAATAAATCTTATTTTTTTCAGTACCGGTACTACTTTTATTTTGTTGTATTTATCCGCGACACCATAAAGGCCGGTCCGCGAAAATATTGTCGGGCATAAACCGGTCCGTGGCGCAAAAAAGGTTGGGGACCACTGCTATAGGCCTCATGCTAACACTTTAAAGGGGTTTTCGACGTATGATCACAAACTATATGACTTTAAAAACTGCTTTTAACGCTTGACTTGTGAAAAACCTTCAAACCACAGCTGACAAACTAATCCTTAAAAAATAAAAGTCCAGTTCAATAGATGTTCACATGTCAAATTTCAGTTCTCTTCAGCGAGCTGTGTCAAATGCACGTCCTTTAAATAAAAAAAAACATTAAATCACAGCAGAGGCAGAAGTACAAAGAGGAGAAATGACGAAAGGAAAAGAAAGTGTGTCTAAAAGAAGACGGTTTTAGACAGTTATCCTGCTAACCGTCTAAAAGCTGGTTAGCAGGATAACCATGACTGTGTCTGGGTTGCTACCCAAGTTTATCTCTTTTTGAAGTTATGGAGTGGGCAGGTGAGCCACCGAGTCAACAGGAAGACAACATGACAGCCAGAGGAAGTAACAGAGCTGGAATCATTGTGTGCTCTCTTGCGTTTTGCTGAATTGTTGCTGTTTTGCCTGTTTACTGTATTCAAGAGTCAATGGAGGCAGGATAGAGTGTGAGAACTTTAATTCTGTTATTAATGCCTAATTGTTTTCCTTCCCCCACAGGAGCAGGTTCAGAATGTCTTCAAAAGAGTAGGTTTTCTTCCCTAGTTGTCTTTACACTTTTCCATCATTTCTGCTGTTTGTTCATCACCAGCTCACTGATTCTGCTCCTTCCCCCCTAGTTCCTGTTTCATTACTCCAAAGCACGCAACTCTGTTGGAGCTGTACAAAAAGAGGTGAGCAAATGAGCAAACCAATCAAACTTAGTGTCTGATGTTTCCATTAATTTGTCATTTTCGAGAGTTATTGCTTTAATTTAATGCAGTGCTTAAACTGCTTTTGGTCATTTCAATTGGCAGCATGGGTGGAAAAGGAGAACCCAAAACATCTGCTTTGAGGCTTTCAGGTTGATTATGAATTTTTATTCAAAACCTGTTGAAGTGAACAACGAATCTAAAGACTCTTTTTTCACCCCTGAAAACGGCAAACAAACCTAAGTAAGTTTCAGTTTCAGAGCTGGCCATTTGGATGCTGTCGGCTCCCTCGCAGAGCTGATACAGCATGACAGCAGGTGGCAAATGCGACTTTAAATACTGAAATTCTGGTCTTTTGGCCTACTCAGCAGATCCTCATGAAGCTCTCTCTCTTTCTTCCTCCAGTCTCATTCAGTTCACCCTCTCATGCGACTTTCACCAAAGCTTTCCCAGAGGAGAAAGAAGAAGGTGGTACTTTTGGTGAGAACACAGATCTGAATGCTTTTAACTGATTTTTTTTACTTGAAGATTTCAGAGCAGGGTTATGAATGAAGTGGATAGAAAAACTGCAGACAACTGAGGTCATCTCTCAAGCTTAGGGACTTTTAAAGCTTCCTACTTAACAATTGGAGGTAGTAAACAGTTCTTGGCTGGTGAGCCATTCACATTAATCAGTGTTTGCAAGCTGAAGAGGTTTTGAGCTGCTCAAGCAGGAACCGTTTATTGCTCCCATAATTCATTTCATCTCACTAAAAAAATGTCTAAGTAGGCAAAACAATACAGTTAAGAAACTAGATTAAAAATTGGGGAAACAAACGTTTTTGGCACAGCACACATGAAAAAGTTGCCCAAACTGTCCTTTAGCATCTCTAAAATTGACTCCATACACTTAAGAGATATAATAAATGCTAAAACTATGGCGCTACAGTGAAAATGTGCATTTTTTCCATTAAGACTAAAAACAGCAGAAACATTTTCATCTCTTCTCTGCACGCACAGCAGACATTCTCGAAAACACAAACACACCCCATACTTTCCACTCATTTCTCTTCTGCCTATAAAGACTTAACCTTTTCAGGTAGTGAAGAAGTAGTGAACCAGTGATTAAGAATTAGCCAGCATGTATCACTTTTAATTGCATTACTACTCAGGTTCAATGTAGCGACTAACTCTTTCTCTTCATCTCCTGCTAATTAAACAGAAGATTCGAGGTCTGCCAGAGGGGATGTTGTAAAAGAAAACAAACAAACACACACCTATCAGAAGAAGAGCAGCTGGCAGATCCACCTGCGGACATCACACTCAAAATCAACTGATGGACCACGCAACAGCATCTGTAACTTTTTTGTTAACAGAAACAATTTGATTGTATAGCTGGAAAAAAACTGAAGTGTGTTGCTAAAGCTGCCGTGTGTCTTGTTGCTTGCAAATGCAAAAAAAATAAATAAAAAATTGGTGTCATCGGACGGGAACTGTCACGAAGCAAATTTGGCAGATTGTTACACAAGACATGAGTATCTAAAACAAAACAACACAAAACTGTCACTGATCGCTGTGGCAAAGAGGTGAACTCACATTTAATTGACCAGAATTAAATGTACATGTACATTTTGTGACATAATTATCATGAAACGGTATTAAAAAAAAAGTTAAAACTCGTCTGTGATGCTTTTGTGAAGACGTAGTTGATACTAGGGCTGCTCGATTAATCGAATTTTAATCTCGATTACGATCTGGGCTTTCAACGATCATTAAAAATGACTGAGCCGATTATTAGCCCCTCCCTCGTGCTTTACTCTCGCGCTG